TACAAGTTATGAACCACTTGAACAATAAATTTATATTTATACCACAAATGAATTATCTCAACAAGATGGAAACACTATAATTGTTAATGACAAACTTGTGCGAACCAATAACCTTAACCAAGATGTAGAGAAAAAAGTACCTGCTGGCTGCGGTTAACGACACCAACATAGCCAAGTTTTAAGGGGATCACATTTCCCAGCAGAAAGTTCCGGGCATCAGTGCCCCGGTCCATTATGTCCAACTGGAAGAAACAGAACATCAGACAAGACTGCAATGAGTGGCACAGGAGAGATAGGATGGCCAGAATGTAGCTTGGAAATTAAGGCGTAGGAACAAACCTTTGTGATAACACCAATCGTCCGAGAACCTACAAGAATAATAAATCATCGTGATAAGATAACAATTCTGAACTGAAATGTTCTTGTGGACAGGACGTAGATTATGCAGGGCACACATACCATCAGGATCAGCAACCCGAGCCATCTGAAGAGCATCAGAGTTTGCTAAATCTGCATTTGCTGGCGAAACAGCTAAGATGATACATGTCTTGTGCCTGATGTATGACATTATCATAGTCCTTATTCTGGCTTCAATATCAGTTGGCTGGTCACCAACTGGCACCTTAGTGATTCCAGGCAAATCGACCAAAGTAATGTTAAGAACATTTGGAGAAAAAATCTTCAATCGTATCTGCCTATCCGATACACCTTTGTTACCACCTGCCTCTCGGTCTGTTTCTGCCTGCATAGATGCAGAGAATCGTTTAACAATGGTCTGTGGAGCACTAATCGCAACTCAAGCCCACACTAACTAAACAAAACATCATAATTGAAGTGAAACAAAATACCAAACACTGACACATAATATTGTTGTTCTATCAAATACTGGGACACTGGGTAACTTATGTACACCTAACTTTTCCACTTCAAAATTCCGGTTCATAAATATCATCTCCACAAATCGTCCTGACAACCACTAATAGCAACCAAATTGTTTTTTTTAATGTATTGGGATAGCATCGAAACCACTGTATTCACAGGAAACTACGTGATAGCCCATATAGAATTTCAACATCCAAGCAACCTGTTAACTCATCTAGCCAACAATAAACCTGCAAGAGCCAACCTGAAGACAACCAAGTAGTAGCCAAGCAGCAACAAAATAACGTCAACACTAGCACTGAACACCAGAAACGACACCACCTGACCCAGCATTCACCATCGTTGCAATCTCAGAGCCCAACCTCACAATCCAAAAGCATATCATGAACTGAGATAGTTACAAACTGTGTTGAGTGTTAACCACCGCGAAGAATGGTTCCTCAAAACCAAAAGGAGTATTCCTAAACAGTCATCTCTAACCCTAGCGAGCAGCCACAGCACCATATTACTACTAACACTAAAGTCCTGGCCAATAATAACTATCCATTGAATGTATTTGGACAGCCAAACCAACTGTTATTCCGGCCCAATCACCGCACGAGGGAATGAGGCAAAGGGATGGGGACCTGGATCTCGCGTCGAATTTCGCGGAAGTCGTAGAAGCGACGCCCCGAGAGGTGGAGGAACTCGCCCCACTCATCGGCCTCGGCATCGGCGGGCCGGCGCGGCTGGTGCACGAGCTGGAGCACGAGGGGGCGGCGCGTGCAGATGTCGGAGCCCCGCGGGAGGAAGTCGCGGCCAACGAGCGCCTCGAGGACGCTGGACTTGCCGCTGCTCTGGCTCCCGACCACGGCCACCTGCGGCAGGTCGATCGTGGAGCTGCTCCCCAGCTGCGCGAAGATGTCCTGCAGCTTGTTGACGATCGGGATCACCGAGGACCCGACCGCCGCCGCGGCCGCGGCCGCCGCGGTCGCCGCCGACGACGGGGCGGACGGCGCGGAGGAGAAGTGGTCTTCGGCCATGGTCCCGGGGGCGGGGGCGCGCGGGCTCCGCCGCTAGGCTGGCCTAGGGTTTTGGACGAGGAGGAGGAGGGGAACGAGAAGCGGGAAGGGGATCCCTAGATCGAGAGTTATTCCTCTCTTTTTTTTCCTCTATTTTTTCCCCCCGGTTTTGAGGTGGGGATTTCAAATCAAGAGGGGCCTCGAGGGGGGTTTCCGAACGCCGGGGAAGGAAATGCGCGGGCAAATTACCTTTATAGCCCCCACCTTCTTGGCTTAGAAGAACGGGCTCCGCTTTGTAGGCATGAGAGTGGATTCCGGTACAAAGACGCCCTGTCGTGTTTTAGGAGTACTGTTTAACTTGAGCTGGTGTGTCCGACTAGCAACCTGGGACAAGCTTACTCCACAGACTAGGATGGACTAAAACTAGCCACCAGTTCTGTTAGTAAGTGGACCAGTGAACTAATAACTAGTTCATGACTAGTGGACTAACCATTAATCCGTCTATTTGGATACTTAGTGACTCAAAATTAGTCAACTAATTATTAGTTCTATGGCTATATTGTAGACGCTCGATCGTCATCTGCATCTCGTGTTGCAAGAACAGCTGTGGCCATTGAGTCCTCTCGCGCATCTCGTGTTGCAAGAACAACTATGTCCATTGAGTCCTCTCGCGCACGCACGCTAAACCACCGGCGCACCAGCAATATCTTATTTGGCACCTAGGATGACGCCAAGCAGTGGTTGCTGAGTGAAAACAAGCCAGCCGCAAATTTGTCAAATCCACACCGCCTAAATCGAGCCTGAGGCCATAGATCCGCGGCAAGGATTCTAGGGACCGAGCCTTGAAACGGATCCAGCGCCGGTGGACGAGGCAAGCTAGAAGCCAGCTTTGACTTATAGAGTGGCGGTCAGGCTTGCGGCAGTTGGGCGGACGGAGATGGCGGCGGCATTGCTTCCCTTCGGTGGAGCCGAGCCGGCGAGCGCTCCCACATGATGCGACAGACAGGGACGGCCGCGGCTCGTTGCTCCCCTTCTGCTCCTCGTGGCACACACAAACTAGAGGGGGCAGCCCAGCCACGGAGGGAGACGACCAGGCCGGCCGGTGGGCGGAGGGCATCTGGGGCGGCACAGGTGCGGTTCCAAAACCATGAGACCTGGGCTGTGCAGAGTTGGAGGGTTGAGCCCGACATTCCTCTGATTAAAATTCGCGCCTAATGGGGTCAGTGTACTTTTTCTGGTTGTATAACAACCTAATACACCTGTGATTTTAATAGGTTGACCATCCATCCCAACAGCATTTTTCAATCTAATTTGTATAATTATACAGATCTGTATTTTACAATGGTATTTAGTCTAAAACTAACCTTCCAGATGGGCCCTTAGTCTTTCTTCTACATGTTCCAATTTTTCCAAAGTTTTTTTTTAGCAAAATGCACCATAGGTTCCTTAACTTTTGTCTCTATATCATCTAGGACTACTACCTTTCAAAGTGCAGTTTTGGTTCCTTAATCTTTTTATGTAGTGCAGCGTAGGTCCATATCTGTTCGGGAGAAGGTTAGATCCAACGTGGCATGTCCACGGTGGCAGCCAACATCAGGTTAGATCCGCCGTGGTATGTCCATGGTGGCAACCAACATCACGTGTTGTCATGTGCACACCGAGGTGGATGTAAATTTCGCAAATCCCCCTGTCTCTCTCTCCCTCTCATTCCCCTCCACCAATCCCTTGAGCCATCGTTTGTGCAAGAAAGAGGTGAGCGGAGGAATGAGGCGGCGACGGACGTTCTTCGAGGATCGATGGTGACGCGTGGGCTCGTGGTGGAGAAGACAAATGCGTGGCTGCGCTGGACCACGGGTCTAGTCCGTCGATCATGCCCATCGATTCAAGCATATCGGTTGCAGATCCAAGTGGGGAAGAAGGAGGTCTCCCACTGATTACTTTCAATAAATGCGTGAAGTGGCGACTTTACAGAATTGATCAGCACCACCATGATTGAGATACGAAGTACCTAAGAGACGATATCCTTGTTACAGTTGATAAGGTCCAGCATCGAGGGAGCGCGCGATCGGGACCCCTTCGTGCTATCGAGCTGACCATGATTTTTGGATAGAGATATAGATGCGATTATATAGACTTTTTAATATGCCATATCGGGAAAATCGCTTTCAAAACCGTCTTAAAGTGTTATTTAGACAGTTTTCAATACTTTGAACGTATAATACATGGTTTTATAGTTGAGGAGGTGGGTAAAACAAGTACCAATAAAACGAGGGTTAAGTAAGATTTTTTTTGTTTTCTATAAATATATAGTTATTTTTTAAATACGAACATAGAGAATCTGCTCCATAACAGAAGTCATAGCTGAAGCTATTTTCCCCTCTGGAGCTCTACCAAATGGCCCCTCAATAAGGATTTCATCATCTCGTGTAGAGGGACTCGCGTACCCAAGTTGATGACTAAAGTAAGAAACATCTGATTTAATAATTGAAGTCAAAAAACTTAAAAAGATTTGAAAATAGTTTAGGTTCCCAAAACAAAATCACTTAATTGTTTTTATTATTTTCTGCAAATCCAACGCGCCCGTGCGTTGCACGGGTTTACGAATTTTTGTCCATGTCTACGAGCGACAGATTTGCAGAAAATAATAAAAACAATTAAGTGATTTTGTTTTGGGAACCTAAACTATTTTCAAATCTTTTTAATTTTTTTTACTTCAATTATTAAATCAGATGTTTCTTACTTTAGTCATCAACTTGTACACGAGTCCCTCTGCACAAGATGTTGAAATCCTTATTGAGGGGCCGTTTAGTAGAGCTCCAGAGGGAAAAACAGCTTCAGCTATGACTTTTGTTGTGGAGCATATTCTTTGGTGGAGCTGAAGGAAAAACATTTGGCTGAGCAGCTTCTTGTGTCCGAATGGATAGGGCTGTAGGATCTATGGGTATCAGTGCCCCAGGATGCCCCTCTCCCGTACCTGCTGGATTTTCTGAAGCGCCAGAATTCGGGCCTGTTCGGCTGGTATTAAAGCCGGCTGATAAAACGGGTGAAGCTGTTTTGTTGTGAGAGAAAAATATTATAGATTATAGCTGATAAGCCGGCTGATAAGTTCAAGCGAACATGTCGAGATCTCGGTCTCTGACAGCTGCTTGTGTTCCAATTGGTACAGCCCTATTTCTTCTTTTATTGATGAAAGCATACATTATTGCCTCTGTTTGTCAGATTTATGCTTACCTTTTCTATATAACTATGATTGGTTTGCCTAGTTTTGCAGAACTTGTAGCGTGCAGTTTCAATTATCTATCCCTCTGATCCAATGTATAAGATGTTTTGACTCTTCTAGATACATTATTTTTACTTTGCATCTAGACATTGTGTATAGAAAAAGCTACTTATCTAGAAATGCCAAAATGTCTTATAATTTGGTGATAGTAGTTTTAGCATGTATTTATTCATGCCACATTTTTTGATTTAAGCACATGCCCAATGTTTTTAGTAATTTTATTGTTTTCAGGGACAGTTTTGCCACCTGGTACAGCTTTTATGTGTTCTGTCCTTTGGCGTTGCTGTTCCATTCTTGTCAATTCATTGCTGATTTCTGAATCATCTTCATATATTCAGACTTGACCTATGTTAGCATAAATCAGAAAGCTGGATTGATGTTTGGTTTGAAGGTATTCTAAATTTGCATCTGATAACATATAGTGCATCATATATTTTAAATTGCAGAATTTTTACTTTTTGGAGCCAATGAAATTTCACCTTCATCGTCCAGTTAACATTCATGTGTATGCTTTTGCAGGTACAACGCGTCTGTGATTCTTCTGTTGCTTCGGGTATCATTCATACATCTTCGGTGTCACATCAAGTATGTTGTGTTTCTTTTCTTTACTAAGTTGTGTTTCTTTTCTTTACTAATTATTTGTGGTTCATACTTCTTGCTGCACAAAATCTACAACCTATGTTTCATTTGTTGAAATGGTTGCTGAATTTTTTTATTTAAAAACTAAGGATAAAGATTAAGTGTGCTCACTATTAGATTGCATTTTTGGTTTTATTTCATAAGTATGACATAGAGTGTTTTCTAAAAATGGTTCTCTGCATATGTACGGTATATATTCAGACTTTATCTGTTCGTTACCATAAGACACCCGCAATGCACATCATAAATTGCTTTCTTTTTCATGCATAAATGCCTTGTGTATCATATTAAATTGCTAGTTTTTATTCCCACGTACCTGGCCCAGCTTTAACTTGTCCCTCCAATTTATTTCATTATCGGGGTGTGTCACTCACTTGTGTGTCAATAGCTTTTGTATATTGGGAATATCTTTCTCCTTGAAGATGTATATTGTACAGCCATCCCAGTGCTCAGCATGCATGAGCATATGAAATCCACAATCATGGCTGCAATAACACAATGTGCAACACTTATTAGATTTAGCCAATATATAGAATATGTAGCGCAAGAACCTGTTTTAATTTTCAACTTACTTATTCGATTGTTTTGGCACACCAATGTCCACAGCCTCATAGTTCTCTGTCTTTTTTTTTAGTTTTGGTAGTGTTTCCTCCATAGAGTTTTAATGCCCTCCATGATGATGTTGCAGCTTTTTCTTAGCCTTTCGTCTCCCAAACTCCTCATCGAGTCCATTACCTCGAATCTTTTTGCCCTTAGGTTTAGAGCCAGCAAGTAAGTAGTGTCTCACTGTGTCTGATGCATTGTTTCCTATGGCCTTAAGCACAGGGAACATTACCTGTGTTTTTTTCACATCTCGTTAGTAACACAACAAATCTGAATATTTTGAATTTTAGGAAAACATTCATATGTGAACACACCATGTGATGGTGGTCGAGGTTGTTATCAGCACGCCTGAATACGGGAGTCACTGTGACCTATCAAGCTGGCCCGATTGGTTGCACTGTCTGCCAAAAAAATTATCCCTTTCTCAATATTGTTCCAAGTGCACAACTTGTAATACTGCATATGCATTGATCTATTTTTTTGTATCCACTTTATGTTACCTTCCACCGTCAACATTGTCTTCAATTATCACATTTTTTCATTGTATGCAGGAAAATGGCTAGAGGACTTTGATAGCAGCAAAACGCATCTTCTTCCAATCAGGTATGTCCATACTTTCTGTTTGTAATAATTATATATGTTGTATCTTTTCTGGCACATATGTGTGCCCCGTATAGCATTTTTGTTTGTCACGTGTAGCATTTTTCTATATTTTCTTAAGCATTTTACATTTGACTACTGTTCAAGGTACAAGGAATGTGCAGGGTACAAGGAACCGAGCTTCCCCTTCTCGGCTTATTAAACTGTACAAGAAAATGACTGAATCTCAACGTAATAGGATAAATGCAATCGGGTTTGGAGGCCTACTGAATATAAAATGTGATACACTACTAGCAAGGTTAGCAAATTGGCTAATGGTGGATTGTTTCGATGCCGAGTCTTCGCAGCTGGTGCTTCCTGGAAGAGGTGTAATTAAAGTCATAGCTGAAGTTGTGCAGTCTATCATGGACTTGCCAAACAATGGTGATGAAGTAAAATATGAGCTTGATGTCAATGCAATAGACTTCATTCACGCCAAGTATAAAATTGCTCGAGGAAAAGCACCTAGGATCGGGGCAACAGTGAAAAGAGTTCAGTCCACCAAGAGAGCTAGTGATGATTTTCTAAGGTCTTGGTTGATGCATATTGTTTCAACATTCTTGTGCCCCCCTACCAGCTTGGGAATCAGTCCTAGATGCTACCCATCAATCATGGATCTTTCTCATGTTAAAGACCTCAATTGGTGTCAGTTTGTGGTTGACCAGCTGAAGAAATCGGCTTCAAAAATGGGAAAAGGGAGTTCTGTTAGGGATGCGTTCTTTTCTTAGTTGTAAGTTCATTTCTTCTTCTTCTACCAATGTCTACTTTTTCTATTTTGCCTTGATTGTATTTGATGATACCATTTTCTTTTGTACATGTGATTCTTTTCAGATCCTATATGTAGACTCTTTGCTGGTTGAAAATGTTGACATCCCAGCGACGACGCCTAGGATTGCAGCATGGTCAAGGAGCTTGGTAGATCAGGTAGTTAAGTTAGACACCAACCGTGACGGCTCCTTTAGAAAGCTCAAGGTATGGATTGTAACAGTTGTGCATTTTTTTCTTTTTCTTATCACAAAAAATAACCCATGTTCTTAATCTACTCTTATTCTTTCTCTTTTAATTTATTCAGCTTAAAAGTTCTGCTCATACAGTTGTACAATCTTCATTATTCCAGTTAGATGATGTGCCCAGATTCGTGTCTTCAAAGGTGTCATTGGACATGTCCGATCAGGTCTGTCCATAAATCTGATGTAGTATTTTTAAATGATTTGTTGGGCAATTACATTGTTTGTGCTAGGCAAATATAACATAGCAGTATAGTGATCATTAATCTGTTGTTTATAATCGTCTTTCATCTCATGCTTTTCTTGTTCATTAATCTTTGTATCCACATTTAAAATTCAGTCCAAGCTTTTCTACCGTTTCCTCGCATTCATTTAATGATCATGTCACCGTTTTCACTTGCAGAAAAAGAGGAAACTGACTACTACTGTGAGTGAGTTTTGTGCTGGTTTTACCAACCTTATGGGTACTTTCTTAGAAAAAGTATCCAAAATTGAAGAACCATCCTCCACAACCAGTTCTCATGGAGATGGTGCTGCATCTGAATGCCAACCACCACGTGCTGAACAAAGGCAGACCAGGTCCAGGCAAACAAGACAAGCACCTGAGGATGATTAGCTGCTGATGAAGAAGATGAAGATGAAGGCACTGATGATGAAGAAGATGACGGAGGTGATGATGAAGAAGAAGCTGTAGGAGAGTATTCTTCTTCAGAGGATACAAAAGAAGAATCAGATCCACTAGAAGATGGGGGAACTCCACCCCCTGATTTTGATGATCCAGTTGATGGCATGTTTACTAGCAACATCAGTGAAGATGAGCATAGTAGTCAAGATCATGTGCCTTTGATTGCGCGGTTAAGGAGGATGCGTAAAGGTATTGAAGCTAATAATTAAGATAAAGGTTCTGACAAACATTCAAGTCCACCTGTGTCTACAGATGGCAAATCTCCAATATACTCTAGCCCTAAGAGAGCAAAAGATGATGAAAGGTCAGCTGAACCTCAACCTCTTGCATTTATTCTACCTGAAAATCTTAGGAAAGTAGGAATTGCACACAACAGGAAGTTGAAGCTACGACTGCCAAGTAATCCAATTGAACAAAAAGATGCAGGTAATGTTGAAGCTACCTGCTGTAACATTTTATTTCCTTTTTCTTCCATCTTTGCTTATATCTTCTTTATTTTACATGCAGGTGATGGTGCTGCCACAACCACTTCGGTGCACAATGTTGGAGAAGGTTGTAGTTTCAAGGTTCCTGGTTCACAAAATATTGTCCAACAAGAAACAGGCAGTGCAGCAAAGATGGATCCTCTGGATTTCGCCCCTCCAGACTTCAAGCTTTTTGATGAAGATGACATTTCTCCCACCAAGTCTGCAGGAGGTTTTGGTGGTGCTACATGCTCACTTGATGAGATACGAGAAGAAGAATTTTAGAAGTTAGAAGATGATGCCATCAAAGAGATTGAATCAAGAAAGAGGAAAGCACGGGTTGAGGAGCCTAGTAGTGGAAAACTTTCAGTTACACCTGTATATCAACCTCCACCAAAACGAGCTTTGAAAAGGCCAGCTACTTTGCGATCACCATATGTTGATTACACATCAAAGTTGGATTTCAAGTGCACCAAAGATGTTTGTCATGTCTATGATGCAGTGTGTGCGCATGCAAGGTCTACTAGGGGAAGCCAACATACAGAGTATGTGTCGGGTTCATAAATCTGGGGTCCCTTATGGACCTACCTCCCAGCAAAAGCTCGGCCCAGCAGACGACATTGCGAACGACAAGCAACCCCTGGGCCGGCCCAAAAACCTAACGACAGGCCAGATCTCCGACTGCAAGGCTTGGCCAAGGAGGAATGGCGCTCACTTCTGACTTCGGCCCGCCTCTCCGACCGAAAGGCCTGGCCAAGGAAAGAATGGCGCTCGCTTCTGACTCTGGCTCGCCTCTCTGGCCGGAAGGCCTAGCCAAGGAGGAACGGCGCTTGCTTCCGACTCCGGCCCACCTCTCCGACCGGAAGGCCTGGCCAAGGTGGAACGTCGCTCGCTTCTGACTCCGGCCCACCTCTTCGACCGAAAGGCCTGGCCAACGCCGCTTCGGACTCCGACCCGCGTCTCCGACCGAGGATGCACCAAACCTCTGCTTACAGCTCTTCTCCAACTAACGCAGTGGGAGCCGACTGGGACCAACCGACCGGGGACACCCGCTCGGTAAGGACCCAAGAAACGAGTGGAGCAAGTAAGGCAGGACGCTCAAGTCAACTGCAATACCAAGGACCGTACCATGTACACCTGCAGGACAGTACCGACAGGGCATGTCAGAAGGGTGCCCTGCCACCTTCCAGGCATGTCCAAAATCCAAGCAGTGTTGTGGGCGCCGACGTTTGCCCTACAGTGTTGTGGGCACCCTCAACTCCCATACCAGGCGAACACGGTAAAACCCCCCACATGCCTCTGGGCATCAACAATGTTGTGGGCGCCATCATTTGCCATACATGATGAATGCAGTAAAACCTCCCACATGCGTCTGACATAAACAGTGTTGTGGGCGCCTACAATCATCTTGTACCCGACGACGTGGGCAACAAGACTTAGTAGCATACGTACACTCTCCATTTCTCACTTGTAAGGCCATCCCCTTCATCTATAAAAGGGAATGCGCTCTCTCCCAATGACGACGGATCAATTCATGATGATTCGACCACCAGGATGATCGATTCACAGAGTCGAACAATCTACGATTTGAACGATTCCAACAGAGCACACGCTCAAATACTTAGCGCACGTAGGAGCTCCTGTCTCTCTCGGCCCTATGGACCAAAGTTCGACCGGACCTCTTGCACCCCCCATCCTACTCCCTCTCGTTTGTAACCCTACAGCAAACTTCGAGCACCTGGGCTCAGGAATAAAGTCACTGACCGACTCAAACTGGACGTAGGGCACGTTGTAACCCTGTGTCATTGAGTGCTAAGCCACATCCGATCACAACGTATGGCAAAACTATAAATATTTACGTGTTGGTCACTTTCTGCACCGACAATATGTGTTTATGCTTAAGTAGTTTACTTATTCTGCCTTAACAATTTTTCAATTGTAGCTTGGCAATTTAGTAGTTTACTTATTGTGTCTTAGCAATTTTTCAATTGTTGCTTGGCAATTTAGTAGCTTAAGCAGTTTACTTATTTAGTATATATGTTGCTATTAATGCTTGCCACTGCCTTGACATTCATTCTTTGGTTCAATGGCATTTATGTTGCCATTAATTGCTTGCTGAATCTTCTTCCAGCGGGCTTAGACTGTGAATGTTCTTCCATGGCCTACTGTTGCTATGCTATCATTCTTTTTGCTTACATGTGGAACCTGTTTCACTCATGGAGAAGATGTGCATGTTTCACTCAGTGTGCTATCCTGCTATACTTGTTCATGCAAAATAGTTTTTTCTTATGATTGATGAACCAACTAATAAAGTTTAGATTCAGATTTGGAACTACCTTCTACTCTACTGTTTGGTTGTTGCTCTATGTTCTGCTTGGTTGCTGCTCTATCTTGTGTTTGGCTGCTTGGCTAGTTGTTGGTATTTATTAACTTGTCACTTATTTTAGTAGTCACCTATTGTATGCCTACATCTCTTAATATTATACCAGGTTGTCATCCCTAGTGATAATGTTAAAGATGCTCGTTGGTACTACTTAGCTTTACTACTAAAATAATACTAAGTAACTCTTTATTATTTAATGTGACTAGGAAGAATATATATATAAAAGAAATCTGCAAGTGCACAGATAATCTGCAAGCGCACAGATAAGCGGTTAGACAAATATGAGGCGAAGTGAATGTTACGCTAGCCTACTAAAAAGCAAGCCACCTACCCAACAATTCTAGTTGCTATGATCACTAGGCACACAACAAGCTAAGTCACTACTCACTAAGCTAGTGTGCTGTCAAAGACTAACTAAAGAGCCACACTAACCAAACTAACAAGCCCTAAAAGACTAACTACACTAAAGAGCTTGGCAACTAGTTTGCAATGAATGTAAAGAGTGAGTAGGGTGATTATATCGCCGTGTTGAGGAATGAACCAATCAATCATAATAGAATTCCCAGAGTCAAATGATGACACAAGATTTTTCTCTAAGGTTCACTTGCTTGCCGGCAAGCCAGTCCCCGTTGTGGCGATTCACTCACTTGGAGGTTCACGTGCTAATAGGCATCGCATGACTAACCCGTAATCAGGTGCTGCACAACCAACACAAGATGGGGATCACACAAGCTACGCGCAATCCACTAGAGTACCTTTTGGCTCTCCGACGGGAACAGGTCAAGAACCCCTCACAATCACTATGATCGGAACCAGAGACAATCACCTTCCTCCGCTCGACGATCCTTGCTGCACCAAGCTATCTAGGTGGCAGCAACCACCAAGAGTAACAAGCAAAATCTGCAGCGAAACACAATCACTAATTGCCTCTAGATGCAATCACTCAAAGCAATACACTTGGATGCTTTAAATCTCACCAAAGTGATGAACCAATCAAGCTAAGTGAGTGAGAGAGTGTTGGCTAGGCTCACAAGAGTGTATAGGCAATGCAAATGGTAAGAGAGTGACCAAGAGCCAGCCAATCACCTTTTATAGGGAGCCCAAACAAATAGAGCCGTTGGCCCTCTCACTGTATGACCGGACGCAGGACCCAGCGTCCGGTCCTCGGATTCTTGCCACATGTCCCCACGATTCAACTGTGTTCGTTGATCTCCAACGGCTAGCTACGCCCGCGCCACGCATCAAGTGACTACCGGATGCACCAGCCCCGACCTGACGCGCCAGAGCCACGTCCGCTCGCACACGTGCCCATGCACCCAACACCGCGACCTGACGCGCCGAGGAGAAGACCTGACGCGCCACCACGCCAAGTCCGGTCAAGTACAAAAACTACCCCGAGAGGTATTTTAACGACCGGACGTGTCAGATTGAGCATGACCGGACGCATCGCTGCGTCTGATCCTCACTGCCGCCACACGCCAACTCCAGCACCGCCATGTCACCATACATCAGCAGCGACCGGACGCACCCCCTACGCGTCCGATCGTGCAGCCGCTCAGAGTCCGGTCACAAACCCTAAGCTACGCTGCCGCTGCCGCTGCACCATTGACCGGACACGCAGGTCCAAAGTCCGGTCCTGTGTCCGATCACAGGAAACAGCGCCTCCTCTTCTCAAACTTCACCACCCTTACTCAAATGTGCTAGCCATAAAGTGTTTCACCTTGTGCACGTGTGTTAGCATATTTTCACAAACATTTTCAAAGGTGTTAGCTCTCCACTAGATCTAAATGCATATGCAATGAATTAGAACATTTAGTGGCACTTTGATAACCACATTTCGATACGAGTTTAACCCCTCTTAATTGTACGGTTATCGATCCTAAATGTGATCACACTCGCTAAGTGTCTTGATCACCAAAACAAAATGGCCCTTTCAATATACCTTTGCCTTGAGCCTATTTTATTTTTCTTTCTTCTTTTCCAAGTCCGAGCACATGATCATCTCCATGGCCATCACCATCATGATCATTTCCATCTTGCTCCACCTCTTGGAATGTGCATAACCTATCTCATGTTCACTTAGATCAACTAGGTTAGCACTTAGGGTTTCATCAATTAACCAAAACCAAACTAGGGCTTTCACACAGGCCCGTGCCGTGCCAGCCAGGCCGGCCCTTTGCCCATATATAAGTGGAGGCAGCACCTGTGCGAGACGTGGGGACAACGATGGAAAGTGCTTGTGCGAAACGTGGGGAGTAGTGCGCCTGTGAGATGTGTGGTCCGTTGGCAGCGAATAAAAAAATCGGTTGTTACGCAGAGGTAAAATAATCGTGGTATAGCAATTTTATTTACAATACATAGTACATTTGACGTGGATGGACCATGTCGTGCGACGGTTTCTACGGCGAGCCCGAGTTGTTGAGGAACTCGCCCAACACCGGCTTCTACTATATGAAGTCGACGAACTGCACGGTAGGTAATGTTTTGTCTCCTGCTAAACCATCAGTTCCCCCGAGCGCTCCCTTCATGTGACTCGGGGGCGACACTCTGGTGCCGCTCACTCACACCACCGTGTCCTCCTCGTCCGCCGCCGTCCTCCAGCGTGCGGTGGCGGCGGCCAGCGGCGGTCCGCGCAGGAGGACATGCGGCCTCTCCCGACGACACGCGGGAAGGATGTGGCGAGCCTCCGGCCTCTCCCGCCCACCCCTACCATCGCTGACGTGCTGATGTCTTCCACTAGCCGGCCGCGTGGGGGAGCAGCAGCGAAGCGCGGGGCGGCGACAGGGTTCGCGTGGCTCGGTGGTCGGGGACGGGCGACGTTACCTGGCCTTCCTCCCACCCGCCCTAGCTATCGCCAGCGTGCTGAAGCCCGCGCCACACGCCTACGTGCTATGAGTTGCCG